ACTGAGGCCCCATCTCCCTTTACATATCTACTCGACTCAAAAACTCCTGGTACCAGGTACTGAGCCTCCCCGGCATTTTTGCCTCGATCCACAGTTAGAGGTGGTGATGACCCCCTAACTGTGCCTGGTCTTCTCCGCGACCTTCTCAATCGCTCAGGGACGCCTCAGCGACTTCTGAACGGTCTCGTTCTCACCATGGGATCTGGCCCCTCCGTTCCCACAGATTCACCGCTAGGGTGCTTACTCAATAATCTAAAGCCCCTCCACCTCACTCCAGACCTCAAACCTTTTCTGCTTGTTCGCTACTGTAATGAGATCTGGCCACAATATCCCTTGGACAATCAGTCTAAATGGCCCCCAAATGGCTCTTTAGATCCTAAAATTCTCTGCGACTTATACAACTTTTGTGAGCATACGGGCAAATGGAAAGAGATCCCATATATCCAGGCTTTCTCCTACCTCTGAACCAAGCTCTCTGTCTCCCCTGCAATCCTAAACACCTACTACTTGCCTTAAAGTCCACACCCCTAAGCTTTTTTCACGTTCCCAAATATCCTCAACTGCCTATAAAACTCCTAGACAATGCACCACCACGGGCTCTCTTGTCCCCTCCTGGCTCATGCCAGGAGCTCTGTCTGTCCTCTCACTGTATCATTAAGTGTCAATCTGTATGTTTTTGTCTAAGTGTGTAATGAAAAATATTTTTCTACCTCCGGATGGTATTAATAAAAATTGATTTAAAAACAAGCGCTTGTAAAAATTGGGCATTCTAAAACTTCCAAAAATTTTAATAGAAGATATTAAGCATTAATGCTAATTTAAGTTGAACTGAATAGACATGGCCTTATGGTTATCAGCTACCTAAGTTTACCTAAAGTCATTTAAGTTGATGCTATCTGTTAAATCTTTCAAAGAAAAATGCTTAAAGTGAAGTGTAGCTTTGTCTAATGTGAGTAACTATTTAAGCAAGTGCCTTAAAACTTTTAACAGCTTCCCAAAATCAAATGCAAAAAGGTGCTTTTACCTCTAGTTAACTCTAATATTTTCCAGAGGGCCCCTGGAGCATGTCAGAGGAATTTTTTCTCATTGGAGAAAATATTTGGCTAATTTGGCTTATTATCTGCTTAATTACCTAGAAGGCACTATCACAGAGAATGATGCTAAACTTTGTTACTGAATGTTTTGTGTTACAGAAATATCCAAATTTCCCTATGACAACTGTCTTACAGTAAGCTCTCATCAGATCTTTAACCATTGTCATTTGTAAGTCTTTTGTCATTTATAGTCACTGTTTTATTACTCCTAAACTAGATTTCAGCAGAACAGGTATGTTACAAAGGATTAAGTAAACTAAGGAAGATAATTTTGTGGCTTTTTGTTTCAAATGTTGTTGATAAAGTGTTTCAAGCTTTTTCTCTTAAGTTGACAACAGTTTAGTAAATGACTGCCTATATAAGCAGAATTGAAACTATATTTCTCTCTACCTGATCCCTCCAGAATTTAAAAACTCTCAGTGACTATTTTTATATTTCATGGCAATATGTTTATTTGCATAAATTCAATAAGAATCTGCTTTCCTTCTAAGAGGACCAATTAAAAACACTGGTTATATTACCAAGGCTTTGACTGGAACGTCATACCTGAGAGACACGTGTGTAAACTCAGATATGAACCGATAGCTTTAAGGAACTAAGATTGACTTTATAAAGCCAACAAAGCCCCTTAAAAGAACTGGCCTAGTACCTAGCTTACAGTTCCCAGCAGCCTTACCAGGTGAGTAAGGAAGGTCACTTCCTGGCAGGTGTAGGAACTTCAGAATATCTTGGGAACCTGAAGAAGAGAGGAATTCACCTAAATGTACAGGTACTGCAGGCACAACCTGATGGCAAGTCTGGCTTAGCTGTCTGGCCTCAAGAATCCCTTAAAAGTTCAATCTGAAATTCCTTACAAAAAGTTCCCGCAAAGCACATTTAAAAGATCCCATGTAATCAATTACTCTTCTTGCTGCACTTATGCAAATAATCAAGCCAACTGTTAATTTAATAAAAATGAGGGTAATTTTAGAGAAAAGTATTGCTTCAATAATGCAGTCTTATCTCTACTAAATCCTAATTGAGATGTAAACTCGATCCAGAATTCTAGTTTCCCCATGATACCTTGCTATGATTCTCAATTAGACTCTTCATATTTCTAGTTTTCATATTCAGCCATGCATTCTTAATCTCATCAAGTTTGTCCTTCCAGAATGGAAAATCCAACTCCAGATGTTGCTACTTAACCTAATAACAATTTGTTCTATCTTGCCTAAAAGCCACAAAACTGCAAATAGTAATAGAAATGAAACCCGGAATAGACGTGCCAACCTTCCGAGGCCCTCTCAACTGACCAGTGATGGAGACCTAGCTGCACCCTTTACTGTGCCCCCTCTCAGCATGAAGCAGCCAGAGCGGTCATCACCCCCTTTCCCTAGCAGCAGCTAGGGGTCTCCATCTGTAGAGGGGGAAATGAGACAGGGACCATAGGCTTTAGAATAAGGTGAGAGCCTCTGAAGAAAGCAAGGAAGGATATTTGAAGTCAGAGCAATGTAAAACTACATGCTAGGAAACTCCCCCTACTAAAACTATGTTGAACGTTAAGCTCTAGAATCATTCTTCAGTGAGATCAGTTAATGTTCCCCAGATAAAGAAGAGTAGCACATGTTTTATTATGCTAATCATTTGTAATCGTGTATAAGATTCACTTTAGTATACTAAAAGGCCCAGGCCTATGTACTGTCTTTCCTCCTTCAGATCTGAGGAGGTAATTTTGCAAACTGAGCAACTAACTTAGCATGCAGACCCAGCTGTAGATGGCATGGTAAAAGGCAGGAAGAATTCCATCTTACAGGTAAGATTGCATTTTAACACCCAGGAGGTTCAAGAGGCAAGATTCTTTAACAGGTAGACAATACCTCAGAGCCCACCTTGGGCTCCCAGACCAAGGTGCCGGTGTCCCAGAGAGAAATCAAGACAGGAAATTCCTTACAGTTAAGTTAATTTTTAATATTCAGGGACCACTTAACAAGTCCCCACCCCTAAGTTTTTTCATATTCTTTAAAAAATCCTCAACTGCCTATAAAACACCCTAGACAACACACCAACGATGGACTCTCTTGTCCCCTCCTGGCATGAGCTGGGAGTTCTGTCCTTTCACTTTATCTCTAAATAAAAGCCTGTACCTTGCTCTCCTACCTTGACTGTTTGTGAAGCTCATTCTTCGGCTCCGCAAACAAGAACCCCGGCATCACTAAGACCTCCCTTACAACCGCCATGCATCATGCTTCAAGATTAACCCTGGTCTCAACACTTACTATCTCACCAGACCTATCTTCCCAATGCCAGCCCTTTCTTCTCTTTCAGACTGTCCAAAAGATTGCACCATCAAGGATTCCCTTTGCCCTACAGGTTGCTTTTCTGCCTACACATATGTCCCCAAAGAATGCTATTAATTCAGCCACCCTATGTAAACATAGCAATCAGCCCAAATGCAAAAAATTTCTAACCAAACCTTTAATCAACTTATATTACAGGATTACCAACCCCTCTCCAAAGACGATCCTTACTGAACCTGGAAAATGCCATCACCACTGCAGACCAAGGGCTCATCTGAGGACCGCCCCCCATCAATACAAAAATGAACTTAATCGCCCCTAATCAGCAGGAAGCAGTTACTGAAGACTAACCTTCACCCCTTCCCAAATCCTCTACCACTTATAAAACAGAAAAGGGAGGAATGTAAGAATATAGTAATTTATCCTCCATTTGCCCCATGGTCCCAAGCACATAAGCCTGTGAGAATTATGCCTGGGCTTGCCTGGGCTTACCCCACCTTATCTCTAAACATCCCGACCCTCCCCAAAAGCAGCAGGCCAAGCGGATCCACAATAAAAGGCACCACGCTGCTGCCCTCTCTCTCTCTCTCCGTTTGTCTCGCTGCTCTGTCTGTCGCTCTGCCTCTCTCTGTGTCTCTCACTCACTGCTCTCTGTGTCTCTCACTCGCTGCTCTCTCTCTGTCTCTCTCTCTCGCTGCCCTCTCTCTTTGTCTCTGTCTCTCTGTCCCCCTGCTCTCTCTCCCTTTCTCTCTCTCTCTCTGCTCTCTCTGTCCCACTGCTCTCTCTGCTTCTCTCTCTCTCTCTCTCTCTCTCTCTCTCTCTCTCTCTCTCCCCCCACCCCCCTCTGGGGCAGCCACCCTCTCCTTCAGATAATAAAGTCTCTTGCCTGGGCCTGTGTCTCCTGAGTCATTCTGGGTAAGGAGGGTCGGGGCGAGATACCCTTTCACTCCCCTTTCTCCTCTATCACGGGGTGGTGGGGTGGTGGTGGTGGTGGTGGTGGTGTGTGTGTGTGTGTGTGTGTGTGTGTGTGTGTGATACTCAGAACTCCCCCTTTCTCCTCTATCACGGTGTGTGTGTGTGTGTGTGTGTGATACCCTTTCACCCCCCTTTCTCCTCTATCACGGTGTGTGTGTGTGAGTGATATCCTTTCACCCCCCTTTCTCCTCTATCACGGTGTGTGTGTGTGTGTGTGTGTGTTCGTGTTGTCTCTCATACTCTGTGTTCTCTCTCATACTCAAAGCCCTGCTACCGCTCCTCTATTCCACTTCTTCCAAACAAACTCGGGCTCTTCTCCAAGGTCTCATCGCCCCCCCAGCCATCTCCCGGCGGTGTACCAAGCACGGCCAGCTACTCCTCCGCTGAGTCCGGAGTCCCGGCCTTCGGCTGCGATTTCTGGTCCGCTCCCACCCTCCAGGGCACCTGCTGCTTGTTCTTCCCCGGGGTCCCACGGCTTCGGGGACCCCAGAGGCGGGTCTCGGCCCCGCCTCTCCTACCTGACGCCGGTGCGGCCGGGGCGCCGCAGCCTCCGCCCACCGGCGCGCCTGCGCGGCCATTGGCTCCCCAGGCCGCCCGTCTCCTCCGCCAGCCCCGCTCAGTCCCCAAGGCAGGTTCTGCCCGAGAAGCCGCAGTCCCGGCGGCTCGGGCGCAGCGCGCGGCTGTGGGGCCCAGAGCGTGGACCCTAGCCGGCATGCTCTCGCGCGCGCGAGTCCGCGGCGGCCGCCGCGTCCGGGAGGCTGCTCACTTGGCGGCGGGCCCCGGGGGCCGTGCCGCGGACATGTAGTCGCCGGCGGGGCTCCGCGCAGCCCCGGAGCGGCAGCGAGAGCTAGAGCGAGCCGGAGCCGAGGAGTCCGCCGTTTGTCCCGGAGGCGCTGAGCGCGCGCCGCGCTCCGCCGCCCCTCGGCGGCACTTTGGGCCCGTGAGGGAAATGGGGGAGAAAGTTTCGGAAGCGCCGGACCCGGTGCCCCGCAGCTGCAGCGGCCGCGGCGCCTGGATTCCCGCCCCTGCCCTGGCCGCCGCGCCCTCGCCGGGTGCTTCTTCGGCCGAGTCCTCCTCGGGCTCAGGAACTCTGTCGGAGGAAGGCGAGCCCGGCGGCTTCACCCGGGCGCAGCCGCCGCCGCCGCCAGCCGCGTGGGCTCCCGCGCGTGCGGCGCTCGAGCTTGGAGTCCCCGCGCCGCCGCCGCCGCCCCCGGGAGGAGCCGCGCCGCCCGCGCCCGGGGGCAGCAGCGCGTCCCAGGAGGAGCAGGACGAGGAGGTGGGCCCACCTTCCCCCGCCTCGCCGCCTCTGGGTCTCGGGGCCGGGAGACCCCAGCCCTCCACCCCGCGCGGTCGGTGGGCAGGGCGCACCGGAGCTCTGCCAGTTGGGAGCCTTCCTGTGGGGCATCGACTTCCCAGTGGCTGTTAACCTCCGTGTGTGTGTGTTTCCATGTGCTGCCTTATAGCGTGCTTTTAAAATGTCAAAGCAGCGAACTCCTTAATATCTGTAGCTGCTACGGTGGGTCTGTGCATGGGTGTAATCTGGACTCCCGGCTTGTCCCCACAACTAAGGTCTCATTCTCCGGAGTGGGCGTTGCTTCCCATCGGAGCCCTTAGGCCGAGGGGGAGTGTGGTGAGCACGGAGGGATAATGTGTTGGGGGTGCACGGAGGGATAATGTGTTGGGGGTGGTGGACGAGTGAGAGCGGTACCCGCGGAGTTCCATGGCGAGGTTTCAGCGTCACAGGCTCCCAAGAGCCCCCGCGGGCAGTTTTGGCTGGTCCCGGGCGCGTCGGTCCTCGGAGAGAGGAGCATTTCCAGCTCTCGGTCGGCGGTGCGGATGTGCGTGCTTACAGCGCCCCTTCGGACCCGTTCCAGGGTGTATAGGTGCGCGCTGGCAGCCAAACTGAATTGGTAACGCCCCACCTTCTTCGGGGGACTGTACCGATCCTGGTTTCCTGGAAGGATGTTCATGCAAAACCTGTGGGTTGCATCCTGACACATTGAGCACATGACTTAGGTGCCCTCCCGCCTGCTTTCCCTGGCTTGTTCTCTGCCCTTGGGGTAGTTTAGAAAGCACAAGGTTCCTCATGTCATTTAGGTTGTTTGCTTTGGACTTTTCTTGTGAGGAAGTCATTTTGATCAGGCAGGGCTATAAATAAAACATCACCCCACACTAACTCCTTGTGAAGTGAATTCCTCAGTGCCAGGGTGATTTTCCTCATCGCTGATGAGTTTAGCTTTAGTAAATTATTGTCTTTGTGTCGCAAGATGCAGAGGCCAGTTCTACAGCAGTATTCCTCTGGGATCCTAGCCTGGAGGCAAAGACTGGATCTGATACAGATGAGAGCAGTCAGGTCCTAGTGTGGTGGATATGGAGCAAACCCTAGCTGATGGTTGCCCAAGCTTCCGGCAGTAACCATGACCCACTTCCCATGTCCAGGGAGGAGTGCAAGGATCCTGGACAGGGGGTCTCGAGATCTGCTTTCTAGAACTGTTTCTTTTCCTGAGTTCTGAGGCTTTGGGATGAGTTGTTTTATTCCTTTGAGGTTCAGTTCCATGATCTGTAAAATGAAAGGTATGAACCAATAAACTTAAAGTTCATTTCTGCATGAATACTCCCTTTCTCTGATCAGGAATTTAGGATGGGTCCAAATTTCAGATTGATCCTAGGGACAGGATGCCAAGAGTTAAGCTTAGTGCCACACCACCACAGAGCTACCTGACCAAACCCTAGACTGAACCAGGGTTCCTCAGGGTTACATCTCCTTTAGAAGATGTCAGGTATGCCCCCGATATTCACCCTGCAACATCTGCCTCAACTTTTAAAGATAAACACACTTGTCACTGGGCAGCTGAGGGTATGCCCTTAACTTTTTGATTTACCACTAGAGTCAAATTTAGTGATGCCATTGTTAGGGAAAGATGGTAGATTTAGTTGCCCTGTGTTTTCTGTAGTTAGGATAGTGCTCCCAGGGAAATTATATGGGCCAGATGGGGGAGTGAGGAACTTCTCACTTTTGATCTCGATTCTGTAGCTGATTTATTGTCTGGCCTCAGGGTGATAGTGTTTTACTTTCTCAGAAGTGAATATAATGATAGCTTATTTCACAGGCGGTGTGGAGAGGAGTGGTTGATTGAAACCCATTTTGGAAAGTGGAATGACTAAGTAACATTGGTCAGACTTTGTAAAATCTCAAAATTGGATGTAAACTGATACAGTATTGCAATTTATTGTGTAACTTAACCTGCGGCAGGGGATGCTGGGAATAGCCCAGGAGTGGAAATCTTGACTGGCTCTAAGAATTTAAAGCAAAACTAAAGTGGTAGAGTTTTTTTTCCCCCTCAGGCATACAGAAGCGATAGTCTTGGTGAAATGGTTGAAGTCCAGTACATGTTCTGATTCCTACACCGGTGATGTTGTGGTTCTTAACTTTTGGGTGGGGTGGGGTGGTGGTGGGGAATGTGGGCCTTTTTGAGAATCTAATGAAAGCTCTCCACCCTCTTCTGGGAAAATACACACTGCTATAAATACTATACCACAGGGTTCAGTCAGGAATGCTGGTTACAAACGCTGAGTTTAGTGGAAGACATAGGTTTGACTCCAGCTCTGCTAGATACAGGATTGTGGGCCACCCAACAAATGGCCCCAGTTTTTCATCTCTTAAATCGGAATGATAGCAAAAGTATTCCCAGCAGTATTATGTCTAACAGTAATTCTATTAGACATATTTATACACCACCTAACTTAACCTTAGTGCAGTATCTAACATATAACATCGAGTGCTAAGTAAATCAATATTTCAAGTTCATTTGTCATAAAAAAAATTTGTGATGTGGAAGTACGAGTTTGGGCTGGCTTGTTATTTTATTTATGCATAATTAATCTACTACTTTCAGAGAACCTGAGGCTGTGTCTATTCAGTTTATTCCCAGTTTTTCATATAAGCTGGGAAGGAGTTTTTATTTTTATCAGGTTGTTTTATGTCAAGGCACTGTTAGTGTAGTGTTGGGTATGCTGTAGCAAGACTCTGAGTATAAAGCGTTAAAAGGCTTAAGTGCAACCCATAGAGTAAAAAGAGGTTCATAAGGTTTTAAAATTGTTATGTTTAGCTTGGAGAGTAGTTGTTTTCCAAAGTCTTTTTATATAGTAACTTATTGCATCGGTTTCAAAAGGCAGCAAAATTCAAGTTTCTAGTGTCTTATTGCAGTGCTAATTTTTTTGGTGACCTTGTTAAAGCTGTTTTGAATATATCTAGTAGTGTCAGTAGCGTCTGACCTATTTCATGTTTTATCTTACTGTCAATATTTGTGTAGACTTACAGAATCTCATAGACTTAAATCAGCCCTTTCAGCGTTTGGTGCTTAAAATAGTTTATCATGGAGGTGATTGTAGTTTTTATATGTTTAATGTCAAACACATGAGAGTTAGCTATGGTGCATGACTTTTTGTTTAAATAAACTGTGTCTGACTTCTACCATTGCTTCCCCAAGCCTGTGGATAGGGGGTCAGTGGGTGTTGAGGGGCAGCAGGCTGCATTTCTGATAATTCAGTCGATCTAGATTGGAGGACTGTTCCTCTGGCAACATTTCTGAGATTTGCGTTTTGGGAGTGTGCCCTGTCTCTTGTGACAACTCTAATAAAATACTCGGGTGTTGTTTGCTGTGTGTTAGTGAACTTGAGGGCAGAAATTGTGTCTTTGGTTAGCACAGTGCCTCTAATATTAGCAGGGGCTCAGTATATATATGTTGAACGAATGAGGAAAAAAATGACATCTTGAAAATAGTTGCACATTTGATTGAAGGTGATTGTGTGTACATTCGTTCAGTCTGTTGTGAAGTATGTTTAAACCTCAAAATCTCCTCAGAACAAGCCTCATGGATCACGTTATGAATAGTTTTTTTCAGGTAACTTTTGAACAAAGTCGCATCATGGAGGATCCACTCAGAACAACCTTTGAAGGGAATTGTGTATTAACTCTGTTTTTCGCTGTGTATATTAGAACTGAAACTTTCAAGGATTCTTAGAATGGCAGAAAAAAGACTTAGTGGTTAAAAGGATATTCCACGTAATATAAAGTGGCTGATTTATACTCTGTTACAATAAAGGGTTTGTTTTATTGGCAAAAGTTGGAAAACAGTTTCTCTCATTAACAATAGGAACATTTACAGGATGTCTTTTAACTGCTCTATTATGTGGCATTTAAGGTTCAGGACTGCTTTTAATATCACTTTAGGGGTGTGTTGTTGGGTCCCCCGCATGATAGTAATGTGGTAGATGAGTTTCTAGTGTTCATTGGTAAAGAGAATAAATAGCAAAAAGCAGCCATGAATTCAGTAAGCTTTTCATTGAATTTTTATTCAATGAAATAAGCTAAGTTATTTGAAAAAATATTTCATAAATCTTGACGTATTTATTAGTCTACTTTTTGATTTCAGAAAAATCAGTCAGTCTACCATTATCTAAGTCGGATGCTTGTGAAGCAGCTGCCCAGGCACTGAGGACATTAAAGTGGGCAAGAGAGAGAGAGTTCTGGCATCCCAAAGCTTCTAGTGTGGTTGGGGAGAATGTCACTGAACACATGGCTATTTGTTAATAGGGTTCAAAGGTGGGAAGTGAGGTCTCTGAACCGTGTAATTCATTCAGTCTGGGAAGTAAGAGCTGCCGCACTGAGGAAGTAGCATTGGGGCTGAGGTCTAACGGATGAGCAGGGGTTACTTGGGAGAAGGGCAGGAATGAGAGAGATGCAGGTAATGGGAGGCCCCGAAGCAGGAGAGAGTATGGTGGGTCTGTGGGTCTGGCCCTCAGGGGACCCTGGGTTGTGTGACGGGGAGGAGAGGAGAGAGAGCATGGCCTCAGATGACACTTGCAAGAGAAGCAGCAGCTGGGTCATACAGAGCCTTTGGACTCTCATCTAAGGCACTGGAAGTCATTGCAGGATTCGAATCAAGGAAGTGACATCATCAGATTTGTATTTGGGGAAGGGCCAGGCAGTGTGAAGCCCACCTGCTGGGAACTGCTGGTGTAGCCTGTTTAAATGTTCCCCAAGGAGGTGGCATCTTACTAAATGGTGTGTGAATGGAACAAGGGGCTTATTCCTGGTGGTGCAGGTACACCAGGTAAACACATACGAAATATAATGTGAAGAGAATTTAGGTCTATACCTGAGAATATTTTTGTGTGAATATTAAGGCTGCTTTTCAGTGAGATAATGCTTTAATCCTAGCATTTTCTTGAAGGAAAAACTTTATTAACATTGATGGAGACTAAGAAAAGGGC